CACCATAAATAAAAAACATAAATCCGCTTATCTCGCACCTCCAACATTGGAGGCATTAGCGATCGCTGGTTCGACTCCTTGCTGATCAATATGTTGAGATGGAATACATAGCACAACCATTTAATACAAGCTGAATCAGACAAATCAACTACTCTAGATCAATGATTCAAAAAGGATGATTAAGAAAAAATGATTGCTGCCGATATAGTGAAATTTTATTATTGCGCTATAGGAGCGCTCATACTATTGAATCCATCGTTTACCAGACTGACGATTTATTCGAAAGCACCGCCGATCGAGATCAGGGACAGTCTGGTAATGTGCTCGTTCAGTTGAGCTTGCTTACGGTTACGGTGCTTCCGGAAATGGGCGAGGGCGAGCCCATCTCCACACGGGGGTTGCTGCCTCCTGCTTCGTCGTCGTCGCTGACCTCGCGCTCGACGTAGCCCTTTGCGTAGTACTCCTTCGCGATCTCGTCTCTCTCTTTCTGGAAGTCATCCTCGATCGCGTTCACCTCCCGGATCATGTTGGTGACGTAGTCATCCAGCTCGTCCGGGGACACCGGGAGGCTGCCGAGGTCGTCGAGGTTGGTGAGGGCCAGCCTCAGCTTGCTCGCCTTGCGGACGGAGTCGACGGGGATGCGCACGCCCTTGTACCGGATGCAGCTGTCGATCTCCTCCTGCGTCATCCTCCTCGTCTTCTTCTTTGGTTTGCCGCTGGCCACCGTAATCTTACCTCGCTCCGGCAGATCCGCCGCTGCAGGGGAAGGCGCCTTCTCCGACGAACTCGCCATCTGCGGTTTGATTGATTTCGAAAAACTTCCTATCCGGTACCTGGCGCACGGATCAGGCGAAGATATATATCAGGAAGACTGATTCCTCCGAGAGCCTCACGCCCTCACCTTAGAGGGCCCCGTAAATGGGCTATGTCCAGTACGGGTTTTCTTTTTTCGTTTCTCTTTTTCCTAATTTCTTTTCTTTTTATATAATCCGATTATATATCTATATATATCAATTCAATTCATTTTTTTAGCAACGTCCATTAAAAATATCTTGAATGTAAAAAGCCACGTAATTTTCAAAACTGCTCATACCATTCCAAAAAAAAAACATCTGTGTCATTTATAAAATGTTCACACGCTTAAAAATGTTCATGAAGATGTAAACTTTGGTCGTGTAATTTTTTTAAAAAAATCATACCTCTAAAAAAGATGAAAGTAAAAATATGTTCACATATTTTAAATATGTTCATAGCATCTTTAAAAAAATATTCATGAAACATAAAAAATGTGTTCGCGCAATTTTTCATAAATGTTCATACATAGAAAAAATGTCCATGCCATTTTGAAAAATGTGTTCACCTAATTTTTATGATTAATTTATCATGAAAACTTGCAAGATATTGCTTTACGCATGTCTTATGAACCATTGTCACCTCTGCAAGGAATGCTGACAACTCTGCTGGCCTACGAATGATCTACCTGACCTTCAGCTCGAACTTCAGCTAGTAAGTTAGTTAACGCCTATATCAGAAAAATTTTACAGTTAAAATTTTAGCTTCTTCAAAGAAATATACTTCCTTTCGGAAAGATGAATACTCCTCCGACCAATGATCACACTACAAATCTCAATTAACAAATATCACTTCTTGGCATAATCTCGAGAGCTCAGTGATACCTATTCTAGATGCGCTACAAGCAAAGCTAGCATTTGAGAGCCTTGACTTGAGGACATTAGTACCGGAAAAAAAATCTATTTGTTGATTTTGACAACTACCCGTGTTAAAGCTTGTTATTAAAAAAGAAAAAGAAAATAATTAATTAATTAACTTTGAAGAGCTATGGATATCAAAATGTCGCTCCATTATAATTTTGTTTGATGCTCCCTGATTACTAGGATATAGTGTTCTAGGAAAATTAGAAGCATAATTTTGGCTCTTCCAACCAAGATTGTAATTTTTACGAGCAATAAAATTAACATCACCAGTCTCAACATTAAATAACATTTTTATAGAAAGGACGCGGAGTTTTGGCTCCCGGGCTCATCTGCACCCACGCTCAGCAAACAATTCAAAAAAATACTAGAAAAATTCAAAAAAATTCAATTTTTTTGTGGTGGTAGATAATTTGACGCGTGAGGTGCGCCCTAAAATTCAACTCATTCGAGCACCTGAGCAGCTCTCGGCAAAAAAGACAAAATCAGGGTCTGTAAAAATGTATACTGTTCACGCACTGTTTTGACCCGATTTGTCTTTTTTGCCGAGAGCTAATCAGATGTCCAAATAAGTTGAATTTTGGGCGCACCTCACGCGTCAAATTATCTGCCACCACAAAAAATTCGAATTTTTTTGAATTTTTCTAGTATTTTTTTTGAATTTTTTGCTGAGCGGGAGCAGATGAGCCCGGGCTCCAGGATGAATTATGGTTATAGAAATTTCTTCTTTACTTTTGATCATACATGTAAGTCCTTCAACCTTCGTTGTAAGCTCTTCATTATTTTCTTCGGTGACTGGATTTGCCTTTCATGTAGCGGATCTAACAGCATGCCACTGTCATGGTTTTCTTCCATGTCATAGCACCATCAATTGGCTTTCCACTTCTTCTTGCCTTTAATGACTATACCAACACATCGGGTGTTCAATGACTGCACCGTATGTACACCGAGAGAATACTTTTCAACTACCATACTAATCTCATTGACAACAAAGTTTGGCATGGCCTTCTGCTCCTGTTTGCACTTAACCTCTCCTTGACCAATCCTTGGTATTCCGGGTATCTGCAAGGGCTACCACTAGGTAGAGACAAGGGACACAACTGGTGCACAACACATTGAAACAACATTATTACTCAAAATAAAGTAACAATCCCATTACATGAGTACATAGGGCAACGAGGCTAGACCTCAGCCTTTAGCCTGAAAGGACTACTCACACATCACAAATAATTCACAGGAAAAAACATTGTAGTCCCTCCATCTGGAAATACTTGTCCTAGAAATAAATAAAATTAATGTATTTAGAACTAAAACAAGTCCAGATACAACCATTTCTAGAACAAGCATTTCCGGACGGAGGGAGTAGAAGATAGTACTTGAAGATGAATGGTTAAATAGTCTTACAGTTGTAAGGGCATATTTCTTCCTAAGTGGTTTTGGTGATTGATGACAGTGCTTTTGCGGACTAATTGTGTGCATTGAGCATTTCAGATATCTCATGTCTAGGCACAAGACGATTCGGTGCCCCTCGGAGCCTATCGAAGACGTCAGTTCTCTACGTTTCTTTTCGGTGGATTTGAGTCCTAGGAAAGTCGTACTATTAAGAGGGGGTCCTCTTCGGAAAGGTTAGGGTGGAATCAACACATATACATCTGTTACTTTGCATCACCTTTCCTTCGCTTCGATGGAGCAACTTCCGTTTATCCATGTCTTTGCAATATGAAGGCTGCCAAATGCTAAAGCCTTTGGGACATGCGGTAGTACTGCTCAATGGAGTTGTAGTACCGCAGGGGCGTGCGGTAGTACCACTCTTTCGTGCGATAGTACTGCTAACGCCTTTGGTTTCCTCCTAAGCTTGTGAACAATGACGATTTTGTCGCTTGGGTGTATCGCTTTAAACGTCATTTAAATCATAATTCTACTAATCTTTGGAGAATTATTGAGCAAGGTTTCTACCCACACGATCCAAGTAACCTCACTCCTAGAGAAGCCGCGGATCATCAATTCAACGAGTCTGCTCTCTTCATTCTCCAAGAAGTTATTCCTCCCGAAGATATTGTGCATCTCTGACCCTTCACCGTGGCCAAGGAAGCATGGGGGCATGTTGTCTCCTTGTACAAGGGAAGCGCAAGCATTCAACACTCAAACTTTGAAGTGGTGCCAGATGAAGCCGGTGAGTTTGCCATAATTGAAGATGAAGAACCTCGAGAGCTTTATAGAAGGTTAACTACTCTCACAGTCTCACTCCGAGATCATGGGAGCAAGGATACAGATGACAATTGGATCAAGCACAAGTTTCTCAAGGCCATGATGCCTTACCATAAGGCCATATCCTCCGTCATCCATCAAAGGCCGGACTTCCACGCCTTGTCCTCAAGTGAAGTGTAAGATGAGTTTGTTGCTATGAGGATCTTGGACAAGACCGCCGATAATGCGTGTTGCGTTCTCAACGATCAAAGAATTCCAACCTTCATGATAACCCACAAGTGTAGGGGATCGCAACAATTTTCCATAAGTAAGAGTGTCGAACCCGACGAGGAGCTAAAGGTAGAATAAATATTCCCACAAGTTCTATCGACCACCGATACAACTCTGCGCACGCTTGACGTTCGCTTTACCTAGAACAAGTATGAAACTAGAAGTACTTTGTAGGTGTGATAGGAAAGGTTTGCAAGATAATAAAGAACACGTAAATATAAACTAGGGGCTGTTTAGATAAAGATGCAATAAAGTAAATATAACGAGTGTGGAAAAGTGGTGGTAGGAGTTGTGGAATTGTTCCTAAGAAATTGACTATGTTACTAGATCGGTAATCACTATTGCAATTCTATTTGAGGGAGAGGCATAAGCTAACATACTTTCTCTACTTGGATCATATGCACTTATGATTGGAACTCTAGCAAGCATCCGCAACTACTAAAGATTCATTAAGGTAAAACCAAACCATAGAATTAAAGCATCAAGTCCCCTTTTATCCCATACGTAAACAACCTACTTACTCGGGTCTGTGCTTCTGTTCACTCACGCCACCCATCATAAGCAAATCATAAACATATTGCAAACCCTACAGCGGGATCCCTCACGCTTGCGCGACAGGGAGGGCACCATAAGACAACACCAATAATAAAACATGCAACTCAAACCAATCATAGCAATTCATCAATCACCGATAGGAGAACGAAAATCTACTTAGACATCATAGGATGGCAACACATCATTGGAAAATAATATGAAGCATAAAGCACCATGTTCAAGTAGAGGGTACAGCGGGATGCGGGAGAGTGGACCGCTGAATATAGATGGGGGAAGGTGATGAAGATGTTGGTGAAGATGACGGCGGTGTTGGTGAAGATCGCGGTGATGATGATGGCCCCCGACAGCGCTCCGGTGCCACCGGAAGCAAGGGGGAGAGAGCCCCCCTTGTTCTTCTTCTTCCTTGACCTTCTCTCTAGATGGGAGAAGGATTTTCCCTCTGGTCCTTGGCTCCCATGGCGTGGGAGGGGCGAGAGACCCTCCAAGATTGGATCTATCTCTCTGTTTCTGCGTTCTCAGATTCTACCCCTTCACCGTTTCTTTAATATCCGGAGATCCGTAACTCCGATTGGGGTGAATCTTTCGCCCAGATTTTTCTCATAAAATTAGCTTTCTTGCGGCAAAAGAAGGGCATCAACCGCCTTACGGGTGGCCCACGAAAGTGCCGGACGTGCCCAGGGGGTGTGGGCGCGCCCCCTGTCTCGTGGCCACCTCAGACGCCGTTTCGCGTTGATTCTTCCTCCGGAAAATCCCAAATATTCCAAAATAATTCTCCGTCCGTTTTTATCCCGTTTGGACTCTGTTTGATATTGGTTTTCTGCGAAACATAAAACATGCAACAAACAGGAACTGGCACTGGGCACTGGATCAATATGTTAGTCCCAAAAATAGTATAAGAAGTTGCCAAAAGTATATGAAAGTTGAAGAATATTGGCATGGAACAATCAAAAATTATAGATATCACAGAGACGTATCAGCATCCCCAAGCTTAATTCCTGCTCATCTCCGAGTAGGTAAATGATAAAAAAAAGATAATTTTTGATGTGGA